TAAGAAGTGAATTTTGAAAACTCATAATCCGATGCATAAACACGAACGTGCAATAAAGTACTACAATTTGTGAATAGTATACTCGTTCGAACGGGAAACCAGTTTTACTACTTCTAACACAGCGTTTAATGCATAATTCAGATGCTATTATTCCATTGTAGTCTACAATTTATTATTACATCAAATGTATAAAATATACACATATGTTGGGACGTTAACACACATCATCATCTACGAGTTGTTCCATGGTAAGCTACGAGGCCTGTGTTATTGACACCAGATAGTTGATACACTACACATATTATATTACTTTAAATACATACATATTATAAAGATAAACACCCATGACTGGAGTACAATTATCCGTGTTCATCACACAAATAAATGCCCCCAGCGGGACACGAACCTATGACCGTCGACGCAGCAAGTAGAGTCACTACAAACTGAGCCAAAAGTATCGTCAAATATAAAACGAATAATTGTGAAAGATTACGCAAATGTTGTTACCATGTGGAAAAGGTGTAGGAAAAATTATGGTCACCGCGCTTTCTCTTCAAAACATAGGGCCATTTCTGTGATTAAATTCATTGCTCATAATAATTTAAGAGAGCATTTGTGAAATGCCGTAAGCATTTTCTTCCCCACACTTGTAAGCTATAATTGTTTATTGGAGCTTATTAAGCGAGCATTTGGTAACGTAATAAGCTTTTTAATTTGAGAGCTTAAACATAACCTTGGAATTTTGTTTATGTAACAGAATATTTGTTAAGTAAATTGTTAAATAATTAAACAAATTTGCTTTGTTTAAAGTAGTTAGATATATCAACATAATTTAATAAAATGTATTTAAGAACGTAGATTTAGTAACTTTTAAGCTTTAGCACAAACCTCATACAATTTTGTTATATACTTAAGAATATTTACGATTTGAGCCTTGTAAATTATCTAGATAGGTACTTAGACGAATACAAAATCAAACAATAAAAGATTTTAGCATTCAATCACATCAAAAATTAACCATATTATGTTAACAGTAAAAAGCGCTTAAATGACACTTTCAATTAGGTATAAACTTCTATTTTTACGGCTGTCTGGATAACAATTATTGTTGAGTCGGGTAATAAATATAAAACCTAAGAGTTAGTTTTAGATAGTAAATTTAGATAAAGTCGCAATTTTATTTACACATACATAAATTTCTGAGAAATCTATTGTTAACTGTAACGCCGCCGTGTCCGCGGTCGTGGAGGGATTAAGAAATATTTTGTAAGAAAAAAAATGGAAAAAATGCGGGAATTTTAATAGTATTAAATTAAACAAACAGCCTTCTTACGTCTTACGGCCATACCAGTACAATAAGAGCAAAGGGACGCTCGATTTTATTTTCTACATTCTACTAATGATTTGGATTATTATGCACAATGATTTGCTACTGCCACGCTTTCATGTCTCTAAAACAAATTAGGTATTACGTTTTGCTCATATCCTAACTTTTTAGACTATAGACATAGATAGACAGAGATCTAAGTCTGTAAAACCTACTTTATTTATTACCTAATAATTACCACGGATAAACACAACAAAACCACACAGAGTAAACTAAATACAGGCCAAAAATTAAAATCTCCAATGATCTACTTAAAATAAACAACATTCACATATTTACAAATTAAAGTCCGTACATAGGGCAACCTTTCCGCCAGGTTGGCCGGACCGATTTCCGTTTCAGAAGAATGTTGGCATGCACGCCATAAACGTTCGTTCCGGTTATATTGCCTGTAACTACGATATAGGAATGCCATAATATTTTATTGAACGCAAAGTAGAAGTGAGACTTTGTTATATGTGAATTTTATATTATGATTTGAATGTATGTATCTAATATTTTCTTTCTAAAGTAATTTTTCTATTGGTCCTTCTTGTCTGGTATGAGATGGATTTTTGTACTCTTGTTTATCTATACTCTATAAATATAATGAAATGCAAAAAGATCTAAGTGTACATTAAATATTTTTTGTACTAATTTTGAAGGGTAAGAGAAGGTTAAATAGGGTTTTTAGATTTTATCAACGAGAATGGACTTTGGGATTATTTGTAGACTACTTTTTGATGAATAATGTTACAGTTCATAGAGCTCATATAACGTAGGGGACCTAAATAGTAGTTGTTAGTTAAATAAAACTAACGTGTCTCTATGTATAAACAGTACTATAATCAAAAACTCTTCTTATCTGGATATAAAATAGTGAATACATCAATTCAATGCGTACATATTATATACTTTTAGGACGACATAAAAATTCAAGAGAAAATGAGGTGTCGTCGGCTCGTATAGATTCCAAAAAAAATCTGATTAGATGCGTATTATAAAATGTTAAACTTTGTTCAATACTTTTTAACCTACTGTGCCAGAAGGAGGGTTATGTTTTTGAGTATATGTATGTATGCATTTCTTTGTCTCGCTGAATTTTAGCCTGAGAGGTGTCGTTAGATTCATCTTAATTGTGAGAGTGACATTGGGTATATCAAAATTATAACATACACACACGCAGCTATTATAAACATGTACATACATATGTATGTCTCCGACTGCATAATACTATGTTCCTTCGTCAACTAGTTTTCATCTTTTTTGTTCGCTTTCTACGCAGTTGGCTTTTTTTTATTTTTATATTTCTTTTTATTTAAGTGTAACGGATAAACTTTGAAGTTTGTCTTTTTTTCTTTTTTTAAGGTTATACAATTTAATACTTTCTTAGATTTACGCGAATACTTAACATTTTAAATAAATCTATTACTCATTTATCAATAATAATAATAATAATAATAATAAATAATAAAAATCTTTATTGGACACGTTTTAAAGAATCGAAATTATGTAGTAATGTGTTGCTTAATAAATTGTTTTCTAAATAATAGCACATTAAATTAAAATTATTATTTTTAATTAGTTTTAACTTTTTCAAATTACACTTAGATCAATAATTATGTGGCTTAAATAATTAATATTTTATTATTTTTTCTTTATGGTTATAAATATAATGATGGCAACACTAAATATAGATTACTAATTAATATTTTTAAAATTGTAATATTTATAATAATAACAGCTCAAATTAAATAAATAATATTCCATATTCAATTATAAAACTAATTAAAATTATAAAAATGTTTAAAGTTAAAAAATATTGTAAGGTACTTTGGTGTCATTATTGATTATTTTGAATTCATTTTGTTATTTGTGGGTAGGCTGTCTGTAACAACTATACCTTCAAGACATGTGACACCTCAGTCTCTCCCGTGACCATGGATGCTGTAAAGCATTCGAAACGTCGGGAACCAAAAATCAAAATATATTCGCGAAAAAATCCGAAAAGATAGTTTTATTTACTATACAATTTATAGGAATTAAAAAATATATATTTTTCTTAAACAGAGTTTATTATTTTATTATTGTTTTCACATTATTAAAACACAATTAGTATTATGTAACGTAAAAAAAAACATTTTTATATATTTTTTATATATTATTGAAGGGCATATTTTGAGCAGTTGAAGAGACCTTTTTATGAATTTTGCGCAAATTAAAATCTTTCTGTCACTCTTTACATTCATTATGAGTATTTAAGATCTTAACCTCTGCTGAGATTAATATTTAAGCCACTTAAAAATGGCAGAGTTTTAAGGCGCTTAAAAAAATTCTCAACTTTCATTATACGCGCCTTATTTTGGTTAAGCTAAAGAAGTTTTTTTTCTTTAGTCAGTTTTTTTTTAATTTCACATGCTTTAAAAATAACATTTCTGGTGTCTTATCTTTATATATATAATTCTTCTGTGAGTGTGTATGTCACTGAACTTCTCTCAAACGACTGGACCGATTTTGATGAAATTTTTTGTGTGTGTTCAAGGGGATCTTGGAATGGTTTAGATTCACAATCTGAATAATAATTTTCATCAAAAAAATGATTAAAAAAAGTTTGAAATTTTCAAATTAAAGACGTGTAGACAGGACAACGTCTGTCGGGTCCGCTAGTTGTACTTGTATAATTAAAAATTATACGCTAACTTATAATTTAAAATCGATTTAAATGTGAGATCGATGAGATAGCAACTTCAGTTCTCTGACGCGCGCGCTCCTAGTGAAGTGGATTATTCTGTTGTCAATCGGTCAGTCAGTTGTATAAAAATAAACCCATACCGTATTTAGTATGCAGTAAGATGTCAGTGTCTAAAAAATTACACGAACTTTAACATAACAACGAATTTTGTCTAACCTAATTACCTAAAATAAAATATTTATACATATAAATTGTCAAAACGATTAAGTACCTCTTATTCTCTGTTTGTCACCCTTTTTTTGCTTAGTAGCTATTAACGAGTGCTATGAATAAAAAAAAATCTTCAAATTTTCAATAATGATTATGGTCAAATTTCGACCACTAGACGATTAGTAATACCTATATTATAGTAAAAATCTATTCACGATAGGGTAAAATATCGCGTAGTGTAAACACAAAGAAATCCTTCGAATTAAGAAATTATTTTATCAACGTGGTTAAAATGTGGTAATCGGCTACTGTTATAAATACGAAATTTGTTTTTATGTGTTACCTATTTGTTACTTCTTCATGTTAAAACGGCTGGACGGATTTGGATGAAATTTTGTACACAGAAATACTATAGCTTGAACAATAAGGTAAGGTATGCGTTTAAGCATACTACCAGTATACACACAGGTGGTTATGTGGGACTCACTGGCCAGAAAAACCAGTACTAAGCCAAGGAGAAGTAATAGCAGCAACCCGAAGTGGGCCTCCTCCTAGTGTGTCTCTCGGCACTGCACCCGGCTGGATTGCCGGACACTAATCACCCACACCTATCACGATAAAGTGAACACACATCTAATACCCACCTGAGTAACGCAAGTATAAGGCGCTAGTAAACCAATAAGAGTAATCACAATAATTATTACCATTTGATAAGTGCTAACATTGTTTCAGTGCCACCCCACCAGCTGATATTGTACGATAAGTCAGGCCGAGATGTATCCGGAGTCGTCGGTCCATTAGAGGAGGGTAACGAGCTAGTCCTCGTTTGCGAGATCAGAGGAGGTAAGGCGTTGTAATATGCTAACTTATGTAAACATAACGCTAAATGCTCAGAGGAGGTAAGGCGTTGTAATATGCTAACTTATGTAAACATAACGCTAAATGCTAAAACAAAATTCAATATAATATGATAAATGTTTTTAATTTTATACAATAGTACCGCCTCTAGGAAGACACAAATAAATTTATTCTATGGAAGCCGTCCATTTGTCCGGGATAAAAATATCCTATGCGTTATTCTGATATACGAGCTATATTATTGTAAAGTTTCATTAAAATCCATTCGGTCGTTTTTGCGTGAAAGAGTAACAAACATCCATACATCTATACATCCAGACATTCATACATCCTCACAAACCATACGCATATACCATACGCATTTATAATATTTTAAAATATAGTAGGATTACATAGAAATCTTAGCATATTTTTTATGGAAAATTAAGTAAAGTGTTTTTAGTAGTAAAGGCACAAAAACGACAACGATAAAATAAATCCTAGATAATCTTTTGATACTAAAAGACTAAGTGGTCGGGGAGTGGCGGTTAGAAGCATATGCGGCACATTTTAAATGTATTAGACATTCACACAGCCCCAATATTTCTTCAAACAAGTTATGTATCAAACTTTATACACTCAGTAGCTCTTTTTCTTTTTAGAATTTATTTTATACTTATATTTCTAGCTAGATTTTATCAGAATAAGTACCTACTATTTGTTTTGAGTAGCGTGTTGACTTAAGAATTTCTATAATAGACTTACCATCATAAATATTAATAGGATTTGCCATAAAGTACTTATTTTAGTGGCAGGTCTTAAAATACATAGAAATACTTATTTTATTAATATTTATAAATGCGAAATTAAGTTATTAAAATAAGAATACTCGTATCCTTACACGCAAGTATAGAGAAACATCAATTGTTTCATTGAATTATCTGGGTCGGTACCGTAGGAAGAAAGAACATAGTTCTTTATCCCAGTACATTAAATGATTGCCGAGGGCAACTTGCAAAAAGTTGTCGAGTAGCTAAAAGTCACTTGGGACGTGTGTCACTAGAGATAAAAAAACTGTTCGTATTCCGCCATATAAGTACTTATACTAGCGACTCACCGTCGCGTCGCTTCGCTCGGGATTGTCCCTAGGTACGTTTTAACGGTTAGTATGAAATACAAATCTTTGAATTTCTCAGCTTTTCTGTACTATCATGTGCATGTATTATACATATAGACCTTCCTTTTGAAATACTCTATCTATTGGTGAAAACTGCATTAAAATCCGTTGATTAGTTTAAAAGATCTAAGCGAACAGACAGCGGAAGCGACTTCATTTTATAATATGTAAAGATATAGTGTATGTAAAAAAATATTTCAATAAGCTAAATAATATTAAATTAAAAACAACAATACATAATATTCTCCAAAGAAAACTGGAGCAAATAGATAATTTATCTTAGAGCCAAATAAACAGGCCATTATTACTAATCAGGACGGTATCATTCAAGAAATAAGCATAAATTCCTCCCTAGTGGGAGATGAGAAATTAAACCGATCACTTTGATATATAGTGCTTAAACTTGCCGATAAGTCACTGAGAGATCGGCTCCAAATGGCACCCGCGTAAGTTATCTATCGCCGCCGGGAAGAGGGATCGCATTTTAACACAAACTAGACAGTTGCTATCTCTTATGATATCGTAAGTTTTACTTAAAGATAACCAAATATTTATTTTTTAGTCTAATTTTATTTTTTGGAAATAATGAAAGCTATCTTTTTGATTATGTTTCTTTAATTCAGAAATAAATCAAAAGTAACTTGTGAAATTAACTATATATATGTACATTTAAGACAAATACCTTTAATAAAGATAAAGAAAGGTTATACTAAAAAGCATGTGGAATAGAGAATCTCTGATATATTAAAGAGGCTTTACAGTTCACAGGCTCAGTATTGCCTTTACAATTAACCTACGCAGGTCAATCGAAGCGTGTGTGGCGGTCACTATACAATTTTCTTCTACTATTCGTTTAGCATTTAGTTCACATTACCTTTAGGAAAAAAATACATAACTAAACATATATATATATATATATATATATATATATATGTGCATTGGTAAAATGTTGTTATTTAGGAGAGACTTACGAGTTTAAACAGCAGTGGAGAATGCAGAATGATAATAATTATTATTAAATTAAAAATATATATTTCATTACACACTTTCTTCTAAGTTTTCTTATTATATATATATATGCATTGGTAAAATGTTGTTATTTAGGAGAGACTTACGAGTTTAAACAGCAGTGGAGAATGCAGAATGATAATAATTATTATTAAATTAAAAATATATATTTCATTACGCACTTTCTTCTAAGTTTTCTTATTACTAATTCTATAATATAAGTGGGTATTAATAGACAATCAAGTAACATATTATAACTTATTGTTTAATATACGTTTAAAGAAAGTTATTGCACCGTGAATAATGTGAAATGTAAACCCTTCGAGTTTGGACTTATTTGATTTGTTTTGACAAGCCCTCGTTAGATTTAACTTTAAGATCTTTAATTTTAAGTGTGCTCTTGAAAAAAACTTATTTCTTTAGTTTCTTAATTAAATATAAACCGTTCGTTTAAAATTATATGAAAATAATATTTTAAACTCCTTTTCCTTCTTTTGAAAATCACACATTTTTTATTATGCCAATAAGCTATAAGAATCGATCAGAAAAAGCAACTTTGTAATATAATTTATACTGCATAGATAAATAACCTATCTTTATCTAGCTATGGGACGTTCAATTTAACTAAAGTATTGTTACATGAACGAATTAGCCACATTCGTTCATGTATTGTTATTATTTTAATTACATTCACAAAAATCTTTGCGTATATAAATATATATATATATATATATATATATATAATATATATATATATATATATATATATATATATATATATATATACATACATACATATTACTCAAATATAAAATCATAAATACCAAAACAAACTTTCTACTGGACCATTTCACTATAAACCTTAATTATGTCAATTAATGATAATTACACCGGTACTTTAATCGCTAAAACATTTTAACGTGAATAAAATTAAACCCGTTATTAAAATGGCATCTTCAAACTTGTATGCGTCATGTTTTGTCAACTCCCATAACATTAAGTTGAAAGTCTTCTTGTATAAACAGTTGCTAATCCAAAGGAGCGATTAAGGTTTCCTCGGAATTATGCATAGCCTTTGGGATTACGGGGCCGTCATCCCCCTCTGCGGATGAATTTACTTGGACGCTGATCAGATACAAGTTAATGGATAAATTACATGATCAGATTGTCAATATGTTAAAGTGTTCTATCATCGGTCCACTGTTGTAAATGTAAAGTATTAAAGACAAGTGCATGTATCCTCAAGCCCTTCTTAGACACAGTGACTCCTACTCAGTGACACACCACCCTCTACCCCCATATTGTACCTCTGCGTATCAGGTGACCCAGTGCCATGCTTTAGCGTAACTAGATCGAGGAGAGTATTCATCTATATTAATATAGAAAGCTGAAGAGATTAGAACTACCAGCCCGATTTAAAAAAATCTATTATTTTTTTTGTAGTTGATCAATTATATATAATAGACAAGCGGCACACCCTTGCTTAGCTCGGGTTCGCCTCTAGAAGAACAAAAACAAATCTATCCCACGAGAACCTTACTATTTTCCGGGATAAATAATAGTCTATGTGCTATTCCAGACTATAGTCTATCTCTACGCCAAATTTCATCCAGATCCGTTCCGTTATGGCGTGATTGAGTAACCAAAATCCATCCAAACATCCAATGTCTAAACTTTTACATTTATAAGTAAGGAGTCAGATTAGAACCAAAAGTCATCTAACAAAAAATAATCTGTGTAAAAATCTGCAAATATAGTTTTATTTAAAATCAATCTATATACATATATTTTTTACTCCATTGTGACTGGATCGATTTTTTTGGTCTATAATTTGTTGGATTTGTCTACGACCCAAATAGCAGAATAGCTATTAAAACATCGAAAAAATTGACAAAAAAATTACATAGCTAACGCTGGCTAATAACTATTTATATCTATTTAAAACGTACCTAGCGATGAACTTGAACGAAGCGATGTGAGCCGCTAGTTATACATCTATACGTATAATAAAATTGTAACTAAGCCAAATTTGTACATAAAATATTTTTTGAAAAATCTTATTGAAATAGACATTATTATCGAAACAGAGGCCGAATGTATAGTTTTTAGAATTTTTGTCTGTCTGTCTGTCTGTTACCGCATTACAGATAAACCACTGAAGGGATTTTAATGAAATTTGGTATGGTGATAACTCGTTATCCGGGTCAACATATGGGATAGGAAAAAATGTCTCATTTCTGAGAAAAAATACAAAAACTGCAATGTAAGAGTATACTAATATGTAAAACCTAAGAATTTGGTTTTTGGTCACCTAAACGCGGGCGGAGCCGCGGGCAATGCTAGTAAAACTATAAAATTAATGTAAACATTTACTCGAAATTCACACTTAGAACCGAATTTGCTATATCTAGCTATCTAACTACCTATCTAGAGTCCCATAGTTAATTATTATTATTATTAAATATTATAATACATTTTTAATAGTTATTAATTCGTTTATATAAATCTAGGTTTTATTAACTATACATATTGTTAGTACATATATATGTATATAAAATATACTAAAGAGCTCATATTCAGCATTTTTTAAGTCAGTCAATTTTTAAAACCGTTGATTCTCCTTCTATTACTCGTATGTACCTTACCTTAGTTACCTATCTTCAAAGCGCAATTTATAATAATATATTCAATGAACATTTCTGACGCCTTTACAATTTTATTTTATGCATAATATGTTGAATGTACGATTGAAATTAGAACAGATGCTTGTTACGTATTATAATATGAGTACACAGTATTATTTACGTTATTGATTGTCTATATTATAGGTATATGTAGTTATTGCGACTCTCATTGTACCTATCAAACTTAAAATTAACAATACGTTAAAACAATATAGATATTACTTATCTTAACTAATAGATAAAGTTTGTATGTAACTAGGGGAATTAAGAAAACAAAGTTTTGAAATAAAAGCACATATTGATAAATAGGCAAAGTATAGAAGTGTACAAGTTTGGAAGAAACAAGTAAGTTTGTTAGGAATAAGTGACGTAATGTGATCGATATAGTTAGAGCGAAGTGCGACGCTATGATAAGGTTGTTGGTTTCATGGTTCATTACATCTCTATGTGATATCTAATATATTTAAACGAGAAATTCTTGTTTATTTATTTATTTATACTGGCAATCTTGGAAACGGCTCAAACGATTTCGCTGAAATATTGGTAAGTATATGGGGGTTTTCGGGGAAAAATCGGCCTTGATTAGTCTTATTGGGGAAAAGGTGTGTTTTCGAGTTTTTGAAGCTTGGTCGCCCAGGTACGGAGATTTAAAATAAAAACTATTCATACAAATAATTTACTATAGGAATACAAATTTTGTAAACTTATTTCACTCGCGGCCTCGATTGCTTTGTAAGTGGGGCGGGGACAGAAATCAATCAGCACGTAAGCGTGAAAAGCTCACAAACACAACTACTTTCACATATTTTATAATGTTAGTATGAATGAAAATAATTTTAATGATAGATTGATAATATACAAAACTTATAAAATAATACCTAAAATTTTGAAAAAATGTTATATCTAATTAGATTATCACTTATAAAACTAGAAAGTTTCATTGATTTCCGTCCAGCCGTTTCCGAGTAATACACGATTAACAAACTGTCAGGAAAAACATAAAACGATATGTTTTAAAAATATTTAAATGTTGTTTTTCCATATGCTATAATGACGTATATATATTTTATTTTATACTCGATGTTTTTCAGTAGTCGAGAGTAAATAATATACACAATATAATTCTGCTACAACTGAGTTAATTAATTAGCCTTTATTTATGCTATACAAGCTTATTCCCGCGGCTTCGCCTGCGTAGTTCAATTTTATATTACCATATCTTTACAAATTAAAACATGTGTAATATTAATGTATAAGCTATATTACTGTTTCATTAAAATCCGATCAGTAGTTTTTGCGGCAAAGAATAACACACACATCCATACATCTATCCATCCATTCTTAAAAACTTTCGCATTTATAATATTAGTAAGACTACTAAATTTTTGCTTCATTATATTGTTTTATTTGTTATGATTATATAACAAATATTAAAAAAGAAATAATAAAAATATTTATAAAAAAATATAATTAATTTTTGTGATGGGTTCATTTCGTATGAAAGCAATTTTGGGACGCCGCCTTACAATAATTGTTTGTTTAAGTAAGCAAGCGTTAAATGTTAAATTAGAGAATAATAACTTGGTAAGATATAAATAAACAAACTGCCTTATTGTTTCTATTTAATTAAATGCTTCAATGACTTAAAGAAATGACGCCTACACAAATATTATAATAATATGTATTCTATATAAAGCAAGTATAAACAATCTATCGGTAATTGGAGGTTTTCGATTGAATGAAACGATAATGAAAAAGAATTTCAGAATAATATTCGACCAATTTTTTTTATATTTAATACGTATAATAAATTTAAAAAATTGTGAAGATGCTTGTATCTTTATTACCCAATTTTACAAATTTTTCAAATATATTACTCATTTTGTGTTTCCACGAAAACAACCTTGACTTATCGGGTCACAAAAAATATTGACGGTTACAAAAATATCGATAGTTAAAATATTAATTTTTAAAACTGGTAACATCAAATAAACTTAAATAAAAAAACGTAGCCTAGCAGGTTAGAATTATATTATGAAGCAGAAATATTCCCTCAAAAGAATTCATTTTTAGTTCCATAGGTTAGGTATATATCATACTAAGGTTGCCTGAGGCTCCACTTGCGTTCATATAACCAAAAACCAAATTCATTTACATATTAGTATGCTCTTACATTACAGTTTTTGCATTTTTTCTATGAGATATTTTCCCGCGGTAAAAAGTATAGTATCCCGCGGTAATATGTATAACCAGCTATCACCATACCAAATTTCATCAAAATCCCTCCAGTGGTTTTTATGTGATGCGGTAACAGACAGACCGACAAAAATTCTAAAAACTATAGATTCGGCCTCTGTATCGATAATAATGACTATTTCAATAAGATTTTCCATAAAATATTTAATTTACAGATTCGACTTAGTTACAATTTTATTATATGTATAGATTAGTAAAAACAAAAAAAAGAAAAAGAATGTCAACAATACATGAGTTAGTGCACATGTGTTTTGAACATTTTATCTGATTTAATCTTATTTGAGGTAGAGCACAATATGCTTCAGATGACTATTGTTTATCTGTCCACATGGCTTTCATTATCCACCTAAAGTTGGCTTATAGCCAGGCACTTGGCCAAATCTAGTCTACTCCAAAGTATATTATTAGTGAATCTTGCCAAATGATGATACTTGAAAACATATTATATATTGGCTAAATAAAAGATTATAGCAAAAATACGTTTAATACATACTTAAAATATTGTCGATCAAATTATAAATAAATATGTTGGGACATTAACACACAGCAGCATCTAGTTCCATGGTAAGTTACGAGGCTTGTGTTATGGATACTAGATAGTTGATACACTACACATATATACATAACTTTAAATACATACATATTATAAATATAAACACCCATGACTGGAGTACAAACATTCGTGCTCATCACACAAATGAATGCCCCCAGCGGGACTCGAACCCGCGACTGCTGGCACTGCTAGTGGAGCCACTATAACAAACTAAGCCAAACGTATCGTCAATCAAAATATATTTTATTCAATTTGGCTTTTGCTAGCACTAATGATTGTTACCATTATTTTTACTAATTAATTAAATCTCAATGTCAATACTGTAAGTTTGTAAGAACATGACGTATTCAATTTCAAATAAATACAAACATGTATTAAAATAAAATATTCTGATTTAATTAATTTAAGCTTCATAAATCTGTACTTATTTCAATGATATTAATAATAATTAATTATTTATGCTATAATGTGTTAAACTGATGAAATGAATAAGTAGGAAATGTATATTTCTTAATAAGCCGTCTGCAAATACGTTTAAAATACTTTACTGAAACTTAAAACAATCTAAATAATAAAACACAAAAATTACATTCTATTTTTTTCCAGATGAGACTAATAATTCTATGCTTCTATTCTGCTTCTAGATAAATTTTGTAAAACTTTTGCACTACAGATACAGAGATATGACGTTTTCTTCAGAAAAGACATCTATATAGATAAACTTAAAAAGCAAAACCTTATCTAAATACAAAATTTGATCCAAATCGTTAGAGCCGTATCCGAGATACAAAAAATATACCTACATGTAATATATCTTGTATATGTATATATTATATTTATAACTTTATTTTTTGCTCATTGAATTAGCTTTTTATGATTAAGGCGGTGAGGAATAACAAATTGTATCATAATATAGAGGAAAAGCGAAGGAAAGTTTACAGTTGACCTGCGCCCTTTAGCTCTGTAACATGCGTAAACCCACGCCACGAATTCGGTCAGGAACGACAGGTTTTGACACGCTTTTCGACCGTTCCAATGTGTTGGAGTTACATAAAAACATCTCTGGAAAATCTTGTTTATTTTTCTAGTTTCAATATTTCGTTAGAATATTTGATTTTTAAAACACATATGTTTGTACAAAAAAGTTAAAAAACGTAGTATAAATATTCACTTCTATTAAAACTACTCTACTGCATGGCTTGCAAAAATCGAAACGTTATAAAGCATAGAAATATTCTTTAAATTACCCTAGAAAATATTTATATATTGAAAATGTTGGACACGACCGGTGGGAAATCAGGCGCAGCTCCGAGGTACGAGAGTAACATTGCCGGCTTTCCAACCTACACTCTTGAATGAAAACTTTCTTAGCACGAAATACTAATTACTATATGTTTGTCCCGACCCGGGACTCGAAATCGTGATCTCCAGATCTGTAGCTGTACACTCTGTCTAATATACAAACACTAAGGTTATATTATTAATTTAACCATTTTATTTACAGGCCGCCCAGCACCAACAGTGATATGGCTCATTGATGGGACTCCAGCACCTCAGTATATAGGCGAGAAGACAGACACACACGTTGTAGTAAACAAATTAGAACTACCTCATATTAAAAGAAGACATTTAAATACGACATTTAAGTGCCGAGCATCAAACACAAACCTTATGAGCCCTCAAGAAAAGACTGTTAGATTAGAAATGAATTGTAAGTAGTTTTGTTTTTTATTTAAAATAATCCGTCTCACCGAATATCAACCTATAAAAGACAAGGAAATACTGACTCTAAGCTTAAAATTAGTATAATACTTTATGAGGAGCAAACGAAGCACATTCGATACAGTTTATACACAGCATAAAATAACCTATTCATTGTACCAACGATATTTCTTTGGGAAAGATATATTATGATAAAAAATATAAAATTATATCATCTTTCTCTAACCAATTATTTTTATATTATATTTATTTATTATATATATTTAATATATTTACTTATTTTCCATTCAATTGATAGTGACATTATTAAAAAATAAATATATTTAATTAGTTTTGCTATAAAATTATAATTTTTTGAAGCTAAAACTACAATTAGAATTAGCCGACTAATACGAAATACACGCAAAATCAAAACACATTTGTTACAGTGAAACCGACGTTAGTCGAGATACAGAACAAGCCTGTGACGTTATCTTCGGAACGGTACGTCAGCTTATCGTGTGTGTCGGAGGGCAGCCGCCCTCCCGCTCAGCTAACTTGGTTCAAGGACAATAGAAAATTTAAGAGGGGAAAAGTGAGTGTCTGCAATCTACATGTTATCTTACTACAGCAGGATTCACGCCATAATAATATTCCAGCTTATTTAAATCTATCTTAAACATAAAAGAAAATTCTGAGTCGAATCTGGACATTAAATATTTTTTTGGAAAATCTCATTGAAATAGTCATTATTGTCGATACAGAGTCCGAATCTATAGTTTTTAGATTTTTGTTACCGAGAAAACCACTAGACAGATTTTGATGAAATTTGGTATGATGTTTGTTAGCTGGTTATCCGGGTCAACATATAGAATACTTTTTACTGCGGGAAAATATCTTATCTCTGATAAAACTATACTAAATGTTAAAACGTGGGTCGCTAGTATAATCTAAATTTACGATTTTTCATTTCATATTGGTAGGTTTTTCTTCTATACAATAGACATTGGGTAGTAATTATTTCGATTTAGGTTAAAATTTAGGATAAACATTTAATTAATCCGTGAACATAAAATTAAACAGCTACACTAATAAACCCGCGAATTCATTGCCACTGTATTACAGTGGTTTTCTTCATTCTAGTGTATTTTAGGTAGAAATAACAAATCAAACATTATGAGATCTTTATCACTCCTGTATTAAAGTCTATCAAAGAAATACAAATGCGTACATACATACACACATATTCTCTACAAATATTACCCTCCTTCTGAAATAGTCGGATAAAAACAAATTATTCTGGTCGTAATAAAGCAAGATTTTTCAAGCATCACTAATAGCATAAGCCAATGTTTTCTTTATTATGTATTTGACAAGTCATCAACCTTTCATGAGAATCTTCAAAGTTTCGAATAAATTATGTATTGGAATTTTACGCAAATAATACTCTTACTTTGATATTTTTTACGTACCTACGTTTAATCGTTTTATCTCAAAGTGAATACTTTGAGTCTTAATTCTAAATAACTTCTTTATCTGTTTAGTCGTTTATATTGAGAAGATTCATTGAGTAAATCGGCAAAGGAAAACGAATACACATAGACACTAGACATCTTTAGGAACTGTAAGTGAACCTTGAAATTGCTTTCCACAGATTTCTAAGAAAAATGTCTGTTCAAATCCTAAGCCGAAACATGCTATGATATGTTGTACTTGATATATCTTACTAATACTATAAAGAGGTAAATTTTATGAGTTTGTGAATTGTGAGTTTGTAAGTTAGTGAGTTTGTTACGTTGTAGGGGTAATCTCTAGATCTACTGAACCGATTTAAATGAAATTTGGTAAGAAGATAGTTTGAGACCCTAAGAAGGACATAGGATCATCCCCTAAGAGGTAAAAAATGGGAATAGACGTTTATATGGGGAATCAACATAGGGACTTACCCGAGCGAAGCGAGGGTGCGTCGCTAGTAATTTAATAAAAAGGTGCACAATTTTCTAGTTCTAGTCCGTTCTCGGTCTGATATCGGTCTGGTAAAGTATTTCTATACAAGAAACGTTGCTCTAGCTAGTCTAGATTTGACCGGAACGTGAGTCGTACTGATAGTGTGAATGCACTCATTGACTCTTGTATAACAATATTTTACCTGACCGATATCGGACCGAGAACGGACTGTGATCGGCGTTGTAGTGTGGAGCAGGCCTAAGCCTATAAAGATATACCTATAGAAACAGACAAACTTGCTTACACATTCATAAACTTAATCTTTACATATTAAAAAACCCGGTAAGCGTCATCGTGTGTCCCTGCGTAAGTCTTCTCCTAGTAAACGGCTTGGCCGATTTAGATAAGTTTTTCTGTATACTTTTAGGGTCACCTAGAAGGTTCTTAGCTATTGTGGGTGGGGTGGTATATTATACGAGGGATACAGAGATCTATATATTTTTTAATTACTTGCTAAATTTTTTTTTTAAATTTCTCTTAGCCTAGAATTAATATAGACTGTTGTACAAACAACTAAGTAAGGAATTTTAAGATAAGCTAACTTTGTGTAACCACGATAAAGGATCTAAAAGCACACTCCAACAGATAACAGATGCAATGAACGACACATGGGTGAGCAGCTCCTTGCAATTCACGCCATTGCCAGAAGACGACGGAGTGCAAATTAAATGCCAGGCAGACAACAGCGCTTTGCCCGGTCAAAGTATAGAAGATTCCTTCAAATTGGATGTAGTATGTGAGTATACTTAAGTTATTTATTACGCTTTCTTATTATTGACTTTTAGTTCACACAGTGGATTCGTATAATTGGATGATTGATTATGCATGAATTAATAAAATAAGAAACTTACATATAAAAATAATCATTATGGGTGTAAATTTCAAAGTTTACAGAAGCTAACACGTTTATCAATATATAATAATATAGGTTTATTTATTTATTTGTCCCAAAATTTGCCTTTATAATTATGTATTGCCTTTGTAATTTGCCTTTATATACCTATAGTTTAATTAATATTATGTAATAAAGCAAGTAGTTACAATTTAAATATCTATAACGAGCAGAGAATAACATACTTGAAATACTTAGCAAAAAGCGCTATTTTATGTAGATAAAAGTAAAAACAAGTTTTCAAACTAAAAATTACCAAAGTATGTCCATGTTTTACTAGTAGTAGTTAGCTTATAAGTTGAAAATATAACTAAACCTAAAATTACTTCAATATCTAAATTATTATATTACAATATTATATTGACCTAAAACTTTTACAAGAAACAAGTCAAACTATATAAAAAGGTCCCGCGCAAGGACATTTACTTCAGTGCCCCAATAAATTGACATCAGTTCGTAAAGCATTTTCTCCCACATCATAGAAAATATGAAAAGTCATAAACATTTCCTACAAAGTACGAAACACGAGACGCGACCCAATTTGTGTGCCCCACCTGTTTGTCGAGACAAGCAGCGGTGATGACGTTATGTTAGGTACATTCTTAATTTCAAAGACGTTCCTTAAATGAATATTGCTACAAAATAAGCAATAACGAGGCTAAGCCAAACCAGTTTGCACATCTCTGACATCGTTAACTTTAATTATCATAGCTACTTAAGCACTCAGCACATTCGTACGACACACGGTCGTATTGTTTATAAGCAAACTTGGAGCAATATAGCAATAAATGTACATAAAACGCGCTTATCCTTGCTTTTGCGTTTGCTAATTAAATTAAACGATGGCATTATTATGAAGTTAAAACATTAATACTGTAATAAAATAACTTTATCTCTATTTGAAATGAAGTTACTATTTTATTTTCATCTTATTTATTATACGCATTTAATTAAATATCTTAAAAATTAACTAAATGATAAAATTTATAGTCCATTAATTTTTGAAATACGTTTATTGTTTAAACATATACTGTTTTTTTGTATATTAAGTAAAAAGTCACTTAGAGTGGTTTCCATTAATCAACCACATGACCAAGTCTTCGAACAAAATGATCAGATCAGATTAAAATGCGAACCCACAGCGAGCAAAAAGTTAGTAAAGGAATAGGAAAGACTTCATCGGTTTAATCATGCTGGCTGGATATAAAATTTTAAATGTTTTTTTCAGTTTTCAAAACTAATCTATACATATAATAAAATTGTAACTAAGCCGAATCTGTACATTTATTATTTTTTGGAAAATCTTATTGAAACAAACATTATTATCGATACAGATGCCGAATATATAGTTTTTAGAATTTTTGTCTGTCTGTCTGTCTGTTACCTGAAATTCGATATGATGATAGCTGGTTATAAGGGTCAACATATAGGATACTTTTTACCACCGGGAAATATCTCATTTCTGAGAAGAAATACAAAAACTGCATTATAGGAGTATACCTACTAATGTAAAACATAAGAGTTTGGTTTTTGGTCATCTGAACGCGGGCGGAGCCGCGGGCAGTGCTAGCGTATTATAATGAATTGTCATTGATGTCCTCGGATGTCTTAAAGGATGTTTTTACTACTGAATAATACTTATTCTACTAAAATCAAATAATGTATTGAATAAAAAAAAATTTACACGTAAATGCAGGATATAGTACATGTATATATGAAATTTCGTTTAAATCCTTTCAAGAGATCCTTTTCACCTAAATCATTATACTGGCTTGCATAAAAAAAATCCAAATGTCTTTAAAACCTTACATAATATTTACATTACCAATAGTGCCCAGAAGATACAAAAAAAATCTTATATGTATTTTATTTTACAAGAGCTTTATTTGACAGTGTGTCAGTGGATTAAAATGAACATAATAACCGACTTAAGATAATTGAATATTCAAGTGGAACCTCATTTTATATAGAGTTGTGAAATTTTGATTAGCTATATCATTAAGTACAATTGTACATTTTGCTGAAGCCCTCAATTTGTTCCGTGGTGATTAAAAATGAGAAAAAAGGTCATGTTAATCATGACATATCGGACATATCAAAAAAGAGTTCATGTAAATCAAAATAAAAGAAAAGCAAATTTTTTATGACTATCCTGCGGTAACGTTTTTCAGGATAAACAATTATTCAACTTAATTGTTACTCTAATTTATAACAAATAATATTAATAATAAATATTACATTGGGACATTAACACACAGCGCCATCTAGTTCCATGGTAAGTTACGAAGCTTGTGTTATGGATACCAGATAGTTGATACACTACACATATATAGCTTTAAATACATACATATTATAAATATATATATTCATGACTGGAGTACAAATATTCGTGCTCATCACACAAATGTATGCCCCAAGCGGAACTCGAACCCGCGACCTCTGGCACAGCAAATAGGGTCACTACAAACTGAGCTAAACAAAATTAAATAAAGTAATATGTTGAGTTTCCTATAATAGTTAATTTTACATATAATTTTCAATCTAAATCCCATAGTAACTCTTCTCTTTTCCGGAAGTACAGTAACCATTAAGTAATTTTTATGCTACCGAGTGATCTCAATACTAAAGTTTATTGAAATCTTCCAAGAGTTTTATTAGATTTTAGTTGCTTAGAGACTAGATAGATTTTCATATTTACAATGAGCATGAATATAATGTCGCGTATTTCCGATCCCCAAACTCATAGAACGTAACAATAATGAATAAAATAAATAACTCATTCTATAGCTTTTCCTAGATAAGATAACCTACACAATCTACACAGATAAATAAAATTGAAGTATCTGTTTGTAATATCAAAATAACAACTTTTTACTAAATGCATATGAAAAAACACAATTTTTAAAATGTTTGTGTCTGTCTGTTTGTTCCGGCTAATCTCCAAAATGGCTGAACTGATTTTGACGGGACATTCATCGGCAGATAGCTGATGTTATAACGAGTGACTTAGGCTACTTTGATTTTAGAAAAAAAATTAAGGTAGGGTTCAAAAAAATTGTACCGTACCTAGATGCATATAAATCATATTTTTGGGAATTATTTTACGATCACTGACTGAAAAGTAAGGTACTAAGGAATTTGCAATACTATAGATAATGTGAATAAAAGGCGAACCTTCAGCTGTCCCTGATTTCGTAATAGCTACTTATATTAAGCTCTTGCACGTTAAAAACAAAAATATTTTCATCTCCTTTTAAAATACTTTCTTAGTTTTACGCGAATATTTGACATTTTACATAAAAATATATTTTTCATGGATGTATTTTTATTTTTGGTTCCCGACTTTTCGAATACTCTACAGCAGTTACACGGGAGACACTCCCTGTCACCCAAAATAATCAATAAAAAAATCCACAAAAATATCCGAAAAGGTTGTTTTATTTAAAATACTTCTATAAAAGCAATTGAATCTGCGATGTCTGTACTAATATAATACTTTCTGTATTAAGTTATGAATAATGGCCATTATAATTTTCAATTTTAAACTGACATCAAATTTAAACGAAATAAACTTGATATACCTTGATAAAAAGGAGTTTATATGACCCAGGTATAAAATAGTATTATTCCCCTATCAAAAAAAATCTAAAAATATGTCAGTTATTTCACAATTAGGTTCCTGCATCCAAAATCACAAAAAAAAAACTGTATTTAAAATAAGTAATTTAATAATATCGTTTTAATTTACTGTTCAAACATTATACCGAGATAACGAATACAAATATTTACCATGTTTATTCATTTAAAAATTCAAACCATTTTTGGACGTTGATAAGGAAAAAAACACATCTGATTTAATGAAGTTTGAATGAATAAGGCCTATCCTGTTTGTACTTTTGAAAAAAACATCGGTATTTAAAAATCATTTGAAGGTAATTTTAAAGCTTTAATTGAATTTAAAATATTGGAATGGAGATGTATGAAATATTACACCTATAACTTCTATAAAAAATAATTAATAAGATAATAAGTTTTAAAATAAGACATGAAATTCTACTTATGCACTTCCGGGAATCGAACACCAAAACGTGCCAGTATGCCAGTCAAACGCCACTGAGCTCACATGGCCGCCTGCAAAGTTATTCGTTTAAATAACATTATTTCATATTCTACAATATAATTCTGTAATACGAAATAAATATATTGTGTTTCTAGCGAAACAAAAAGTTATTCGCATAAAAGCAACAACACCGTAATAATACACTTGACGCGTCCTCCCTAGCGATAATTCTCTATCTTTTGCAGAGGCATTGTGAGAAAATGCTCATGCCAAGATTCTTGGGACTTGTTAAACTCAAAGTAAACGCGTACAATTATGGCTGTAACAATAAACTGAAACACACTGTATGTACCTTAATTAAATTTGTCTTCCATACGACTGCTCTTGATCTTACTTTATTTGACATATGAAATACTCGTAACTTTTACAGTTTTCATCGTTTCTAATCATTACAATTATCGAGCTACTATATTATAGATGCGAAAGTTTGTATTTATTTATGTTTGTTACTCTTTTACGCTGAAACCTCTGGATAGATGGATTTGTATGAACTTTAGTACACAGATAGATTATGATCAGGAGTAACATATAGGTTACTAATAGTCTCCTTAGGACGTACCCGGGCGAAGTGAGGTTATGTCACTAGCTTATAACACAAGCCAACCAACGGTTGTTTTACTTTTTGTAATATTTAATGTACATTTAAATAATCGGTTAACCATTTATTGTAAAGAACATTTGTAATTTGAAGACACGTTTGGCCCAGTTTGTAATGACCCTACTT